CAAGGAGTTTTGGCATGTGGTCTAAGACGATGTCATGAGATTTGTAAAGTACTTCGAAAACTGTGGGAAAATCTCTATGGATTGTAATTCGTTATTCATTACCTTTCTTCCTAAAGTTATAGACCCGCTTTCTCTTAGTTATTATTGTCCCATCAACTTAATTGGTTGTGTTTGCAAGATATTAGCTAAAACTCTCACGTCTAGACTCAAACAAGTGTTAGGGTCCATTATTGGCGACGTGCAGCCGACTTTCATAGACGGGAGAAGCATTCTTGACGGACCGTTGATTGTTAATGAAATTGTTGCTTGGGTGAAACATTCCAAAATGAAAGACTTCTCTTTAAGGTTGATTTCAATTTCGATTCCTTAAACTGGAATTATTTGGACTCAATTATGTCTCAAATGGGCTTTGGGGTGAAATGGAGGAATTCGATATCTGGATACATCTCATCCGCTCGTGCCTCGGTTCTTCTCAATGGGTATGCATCGAAAGAGTTCCAATTGTCTAAAGGGGTTCGTCAAGGGGATCCGATCTCCCCATTCCTTTTCATTCTTGTCATGGAAGGCCTAAATGTGGCCATGAAGTCTGCCTTTCAAAATTCCTTGTTCCATGGTATCGACATTCCAAACCGGGGCCCTTCCATATCGCATTTGTTTTACGCCGACGAAACGATTTTCATCGTAACCTGGGAGAGCACAAATTTCGTTAATCTGGCCCATATCCTTCATTGTTTTCATGCGGCTTCCGTCCTTAAGGTAAACTTTCACAAGTATAAGGTTTTTGGTGTTGGTGTTTCAGAGGGTGAGATCTATAATTTTGATCGGGTTCTCAGTTGCAAGGTAGCCAATTTCCCCTTCAAATACTTAAGTGTTCTGGTTGGATCAAACATGGCCCTTAAGCGTAATTGGTTACCCGTTGTTGTGAAAGTTCAAAATAAACTTTCTTTCTACAAGTATAAAATGTTAACGTTCGGTGATAGAGTTAATCTTACGAAAAGTATCCTTGGTAGCTTGCCGTTGTTTCACTTTTCGCTTTTCAAAGTCCTGAATTCTGTTGTTGAGGCGCTTGAGAGATGTCGAAGAAGATTTTTGTGTGGTGGCAGCGAGGAGAAGAACCGAATCCATTGGGTTGATTGGAAGGTTGTGTTAGGGCCTAAAAGAAACGGTGGGTTGGGAATTGGTTCTCTGGCATCTTTGAATTTGGCCTTGCTATTTAAATGGATTTGGAGGTTTAAAATGGAGCCAGACGCCCCGTGGAGAAGAGTTATTTGTGGGATTCACAACTTGTCCAAAAAAATCGATCTCGAATCTTTCAAAGAAATCTATTTCAGGAGTTTGGTAGAACATCACAAAGACGATCAATGCCCTTGTTGACATCAATATATCTCTTCCCTCTATTTTAAAACCCAAAGTTAGATCCAGATTAGATATACTTTTTTGGCTCGAAATTTGGTTAGGTAACGGTGATCTAGCCTCGAGGTTCCCTCATGTTTTTGCCTTAGATAAAAAGAAATCATGTAGCATAAGGGAGCGATTGTGTATTAGTGAGGGCGGTTGGGCGTGGAAGAGGCATCCAAGGCTGCAGGCGAAAATTGATGAATTTCATGCTTTGAAAGGTGTTGTGTTGGTATCATTCTCAATGATTCCAATGATGCTTGGACTTCACCCCAATTTGATGATGGCAAGTTCTATGTTCATGAATTGAGGTCCTTAATCGACTCCTTCCTTACGACTGAAATGTTTAATGCAACGATTTTGGCTTTCGTTGGTACCCTTAAAAGTAAATTGCTTCATCTGGCGGGCTTGCATTAGTAGAATCCCTACAGGTTGTGTTCTCGCTAAACGTGGTGTTCCTATTAGTAGTCCTTTTTTTGCCTTTGGTGTGATGAAAAGGTTGAAGATGTGAACCACTTGTTTGCGGGTTGCTCTTGGGCTCGTGATATTCTTCATCAAATCCTTAGTTGGTGCAAAATCCCTCTACGTATTTTTGACTCCTACTTGGAGCTTGTCTCTTTTGCTGCTAAGTGGGGAAAATGTTCATTGAAGCGTAAGATTCTTATAGCCATTTTCTATGGTTACATGTGGTGTATTTGGAAAGCATGTAACGATAGGCTGTTTAGAAAGGTGTGCACTTCGAAGGAGGGTCTAATTGATAATGTTACTTCTCTTACTTTTAGTTGGATTAAACATAGAGCGTGATTTCGAAATTGTAGTTGGGTGGAGTGGTGTTATTCCCGTTTTAACATTGTTTAGTTTTTGTTTGTCTTCTTTGTTGCCCAACCATACTCTTTTTTGGCTGCAGGATAACAAAATTTCGCCGTTTAAAAAAAAGAATAAATTATAAAGTACACAAATGGAGATAGTGGGGACATGATTAAGAAGGTGTTTGACAAAAGTAGCTGTTAGTTGGAAGCAGTTAGCGGGTAGCTGGTAGCGGAAAGTTGTAGCGAATGTTTAACAAAAGTAGCTAGAAGATTTTGAAATATATAAAATTATATAAAAGAACAATCGATTAAAAATAAATAAATATATAAATATATTTTTAAGGGTAATTATGGAAATTGATTTCAAAAGATCGGTAGCGTTTTGTTAAACGCTACATGAAGTAGCTTTTAGATTTGGAGCGTTTTGTTTAAGTTAAAAACTAAACGTTCGTACTGTCAAACGCAATTTTTTGTATAAAATAAAACATTTTATCAAAAACTAAAAGCTAAAAACTTGCAAACGCTATCAAAAACTCCGTATCAAATACAGTCTAACTCAATCTTGTATCTTGGGTAATATATTTAAAATTATTCATCCTCCCACCCTTTTATTTCTCCTTAATTACAATTTACAATCAATGCGATTATCCGATTTTATTTCTTAGTTGGTTTTTTGCTTTATTGACCCAAGCATTTAATAGCTTTAAATTTAATAATCTGTTTAGAATATATTGGAAAAACGATAATTGACTATTGTAATTTATCTCGGTACCTTAAAGCAGATTATTATTATTATTATTATTATTATTATTATTATTATTATTATTATTATTATTATTATTATTATTATTATTATTATTATTATTGGATATAAGACTTGGATCTTCTAACTCTTATTTATATCGCGCTCATAGCTTATATTAGATTTTCTTTCTTTTATTAATCTCTCCTCCATCTGCGTGTTAAAAATGTTGAAGCTTGGTGATTGTTTCCAAAATGCTTTAAACACCGAAATGAATGAACATTTAAATTTGGTTACTTCAATCAAAGTTTTGGTTGTTGACCGTAAGATGGACTTCCTTGGTTATGTTGCAGACATGCTACATTCATGTTCATTTGAAGGTAACATTCCTGATTAAAAAATTTAGTTATCAACTTGAGTTTTATTAAAAATCAATCAACTTGAAATTGCGATATTATAATGTTTATTTCAGTTGCTTAATTGAAATTAATTATATTTTATAATAAAATAAGTTTGTTTTGGTTGAATTTATTTGTTGTCAATTTATTTACGAGACTGAATTAATTAACACTACATTCTTTGTTAGTGTTTTCATGATATAAATATTTTCTTACTAAGATACTAGTCGTATTTTGATTTTATTTGTTTATTGTATCTTATGTCCAATAAGTCAATGCCTTGTATAATAAAGCTTCACTGACTATACCATACTAAATCTGTTTAAATGTTCATGTCATAATATAAAAAATATTGAGATTGTAACATAGTTGATGGCTCCTGAGTGCGGGACATTGTTTTGGCTTTGCGAGGGAACGGTTAGTGGCATGTGGTGATATCTATATATTTATTGTTATAAAAAAAATTATTATCAAGTCCGTAAAAAGAATATATTATTTTTATTGTGAACCATTCATAATTTACATTTTTAATCTTCTATTTATTTATATTTGAAAAAATTTCACTGTATAACAATAATTTAATTTGTTTCCATTTACGAATTACATATCAAATCTATAGTTTGCAATGTTTAACAATCTGTAAATGTTTAGATATTAAAGTAACTAGCTGTGAAATTCATGATTTTGTTTTTAAAAAGTAAAAATAAATATAAATGTTTAAATATTTGAGAAGTTTGAATTTATAAGAAAAAAAAAATATTGAATTATTAAAATTAAAATGTTTTATTTTATTTTAAATTTAAACAAATAATTTAGATAAATAAACAAAAGAAATTAATGAGATTTAATTTATGAACTTTGAAACTACAAGGAAAGCTCTTTAATGAAATATATATATATATATATATATATATATATATATATATATATATATATATATATATATATATATATATATATATATATACTGCAATTATTATATTTAAATATTATATAAACTTCAATAAATTTGAAAAAACCATAAAATTATATGTGGAAAAAAAAATTAAAATACCTACAAAAGTACTTGTAGCAAATTGAATAACAATATGAGATGTGACAAAACAATATTTATTTATTAAAATAGATTAAATTTATATTTTATTTATTTATTTGGTAATTCTAGTAAGGTAGTTTTATAAATTTACAAAGAATGGCCTAATAAAGACAAATACTATTAGATAAATAGTTTTTGTATTAAATAGAATTCTTTCCATACAAATAACAGGCATAATATATATATATATATATATATATATATATATATATATATATATATATATATATATATATATATATATATATATATATATATATATATATATATATATCATAGTTGCAAAAATCGCTAATTGTTAGTTAGTCGGTAGACGGAAGATTAGCAATTAATCGGCTAGACGTGGATTAAGCGGCTGATTAATCAAGAACCATTAATTATTAAGAAAATTACTCAAAAATTTATAAATCTAACTTTAATCTTCAGAATATAAGTAAATAAACATAAAAGTTTAATAATAATTTAATAAGTTTAAGAGACACACAAAATCATCATTCAACAAGTCCACACTAAGTTTAAGTATCTCAAAAATAAGCGCACGGACTTAAAATGTTTTCAATGTTTGATCAAGTTTGACCGATTAGGTCCGATTAGGTGGGGACTAGGTCTGTCTTTGACCCGTGTTGACAAAACCCGATTATAGTGACCAAATAGCAAAAAAAAAATATCATCGGGTTTATCATGTAACACCATTTATAGAATACAATCATAGAGGTGATAAAGGCATGCTAGCAGCAACTGATTTGTTTTGAAATATGTATTTGTGTTTAAGAGTTATGAGTGGTATGGTGGTTGTGAAAGTGGTGACAACAAGTGTGGTTTTATAGTGGTGGTGATTAGTGATGATAGTGATGGTTGGAGATGGTGGTGTCTGGTGATGCTGGTGATAATGGTGTCATTGTTTAAAATGCTTAACAGTCCATACGTGAGGCTGGTTAGAACGGATGGTCACCGGTGTTATCAAAACCCTCCATAGGGACCAATGGTGTTGCTTTTCCAAAAGGACCAAAATTTTATAACTGATAAACAACATGGAGAAAGACTATAATTTACTTATATATATATATATATATATATATATATATATAGAGAGAGAGAGAGAGAGAGAGAGAGAGAGAGAGAGAGAGAGAGAGAGAGAGAGAGAGAGAGAGAGAGAGAGAGAGAGAGAGAGAGAGAGAGAGAGAGAGAGAGAGAGACTTGTATTCGTTTTGGATTGACTACTGTTTGATTTGTGAATTCAATAAAATCTCAAACAAAGGGACCTTAACAAAACTAATGAACGTCCTACAACAGAATTGATGAATCATGTTTTAAATTGTATAAAATATTTTGTATTCCCTCGTTTCTTGTTATTAATACTATACTCTTTTATAATTAAATATTTTATGTTGCTCTTATATAGTTACATGTGTTGATCATTCGGGTGCGGCTTTGAAATTGCTCACCAAAAAGAAGATAAAATTTGATCTCCTTCTGATAGACAGCGACATAAGTGATGTTGATGTTCATACATTTCTTAGTTTAACAAAGAACATGGACGTACTACCCATTGGTGAGTTCTAAATCACACTATATATGTTTCCTTAATATTTTCTTACAACAAAGTTGATTACCTTTGTAATTTTTTGTCATCTTTAATATTCATTCATCCCTAATTTGTTATACTCAAGTGATGTCTGAGCAAGAGGATGATGCATTCCTATTTGAAGCTTTAAAGAATGGTGCTTTTCTTGTCCTCAAGAGGCCACTTACTATCGATGCAGTAAGGCATATGCGTCAAGACATTATCAGAGAGAGAATGCGTAAGCATGAAAAATGTAAAAAAAAGAACATGGTTGTTAAGGCCACAACACAAGCAACAACGATACAAGAAAATATAAGATCTGGTCGTAAAAGGAAGGAAACATGCGGCCCAATGAAGCAAGTGATCAACAAAATTAATCCTGACAATAATCTACTCTACCAATCATCCGAAGAAGAAGAAGATGATGATGTTGATGATGATAATGATGTTGATGATGATAGCACGCAAAAAAGGGTATGCTTGGAGTGGACCCCAGAGCTTCACAAGAAATTCCTTGATGCTATCACTGAGCTTGGTGAAGGAAGTATAAATTCATCTTTCACCTTTTTTATTTTGTATTGATTTATTTTTTTCTGTTTGTGAAAGATAAAAGAAAGTTTACGTATTTCCATATCAGGATGTTTTCCAAAGGAGATACTTAATCTTATGGATGTCCCTGGTCTTACGAGAATGCAGGTTGCTAGTCATCTCCAGGTTAGTTTTTCACACTTAATAATATTGCATCGATTTAATATATATTTTTTATATGTCTTCTTATTATTAAGTAAGATGGTGCCTTGCATTTGCAAACTTTCCTTTTATATTATGTTTTTTATTTAACTTGCGATAGATTCAAACACCCCTACCTCTATTGGGATAAGTTTGGATAGACGTCATGTTGTAATAAGAGAACAACCAAAATACAATTTTTAGCTACAATATCCAATCTCACTCAAATATGCAATGAGCCACATAATCTCTAAACTTTGAATGACTTAATTAATATGGAATGAAAATATTCAAACATAGGAACACCGATATACAACTAGAATAATTAAACATAAGTAAAGAGATAAATATAGACACACTAACACCATAATTTATAAGCAAAATATGATTTGGAAAAGAAGCCATGGACTAATGAGACCATTAAAGATATGCACTAGTCAATTATGTAGTTATAGTTGTTTACAACGAATTAATGGGAGATTGATAGTGTAAGTATTGTTAAGTTTATGGTTTTCATTGCTTCTTAACCTCATTTATGCTACAAAGGGTATTGGAGTCTATTCCTCCACCCCTAGAGACCTTTTTTCTATATCAACTTTTCCTTCTTCACTTACTTCCAAATCTTCAAACCTCATGTCCCACAATACATGGAAATACATCCCTCCCAAACCACTTAATTTTTAATTTTAATATAAATTAGGTGTGAGATCGTATGTTATACGAATTTGATAAAACAAAAAATTAAATATGAAAGTTTAAATAAAATTTTATTTAAATTTGAAATTTAAAAATTTAAATTTTGAATTTAAAAGGAAACATATTAAATACTATATGAGTACTAATATTATAATTTATTGGTTATTTTCAATTAAGGTAATTATTAATGAATGTGTAAATATGATGTGTTAATTAAGAAAATATAAAAAATGAGAAAATGACAAATGAAAAAAACAATTATTCAAAAATACAAAAAAATGATATGTGTCCAAGTTAATGAGAGAGTGACATGTGTCAAAATTATTTTCATTTATTAGGAAGGATACTAACTAATTAAAATCATATAAAATTAATATAAGCAGTAACTAATAAAAGACATACAAAATTAACCCATAAAATATAAAATTAATACAAAATGAAACAAAAGATTAATTAGGTTGATAGTAATCTTATTATTTATTTATTTATTTTTATTTTTAAATTCAAACGGTTTTCAATACCACAATAATTTAATGATAACAAATTATTTGTAAGTGTTATCAAATTATATATCATATGGCATAGATATCTATAAGACAATCCACCGCATCATGTCGATTCTTACATATTGATCCAATATAATGATCTTATGAGAATGATCATAATGGATCACTGTAAGCAATAAGTTGACTATACAGCTTCGGGGATTCCTTGGCAACACATATAAGTCAATAAAGGCAACCATAGGAGGGATGGATAGAATACCCAAATGAACATATAATCCTTTTCTATGGATAAGTATAATTCATCAACACGTACATAATATGAATCTGCAAGCGTTCCACAAGACAATTAGTCGGTGGTTATCATCTTACTCCAGCAGATGACCAGACATACCCACCGGTATTTTGATATAGACGCATAATTTCTGGTTGTTTAGAAAGAGGAGGAATACTAGTATATTACACCGGTACGTAACCCGAACATTGACACATAATAATGTCATAGAATAGAACTCTACTCTCAGCTCCAGTCTCACACAAATCTGGTATAAAACTATCCACTTATTCAACTTACGTTAAACTAGGTATCATTGACAAGCCTTAGTTTATAACTAGACTAAATTTCAATAACTGCAACTCATTTTCAATATAGTCTTCTTGTTCATGAAATACTATCGCAATACATGGTATAACTACACACTTACTCAACTTATTTGGGACTAATCCTTTATATGTCTTAGTTTAAAACTAGACAGAACTACAATCCACGTAATCAACTTCCAATATAGTGGATATATTTAACACAAATTATCAGGTATTCAATATACATTTATCTTTTAACTGATACTACTTCCATTAGGATCGTCATGTAGTAATATCATATATACACTTAACACATATATAACCATATCCGACTCACACAATGTATGTTATTTAATATTATCAAATATACATTTAACACATATTCCAGATAATAAGCATTTAATTCGCATATAAAATTTCAACATATATTCAATATTTTAAGTAAAATATACTTGTGTTAAATCATGCTCATGAAACACACACTTACATGATTAAAGGTGGAAGATTTTTGGGAAAGTTAACTCCTCATCTAACTTCTTCTCTTCCCTTTGAACGACCTAAGTATGAATATTACTAAGTATTAGTATTTGTTCGTATCTATAAGGTTATATTAACTATTTCTCAGATTCTTCATTAATCCAAAGAAATACTGAGTTCTATCAAATAAGGAATGACTAGGTAAGATCATACTAGAGGTAGGATCTATTTGGCATATATATATATATATATATATATATATATATATATATATATATATATGTATTTTATTTGGAAAATCCACTTGAAACACCTCATTAAGATCTTGCCGCGACATCACTTCCGTAAGTAGATTGAAACATTCTAAAATTCATGACCAAAAATTTCATTTTTAATTATTAAATAAATCATAGTTTTAAAATCATTCCATCCAAAAACATAAGTCATAGTATCAAATTAGAGTATCATATTTAAACATCAGAGTGACATCCCAAGCTAAACATCGTGGTGTGTGCAATGCATCATCCCGAGCTCTTCCCTTTTCTACCAGAAGTACCTGAAACCGAAACTGAAAATTGCACGCACGAAGCTTAATGGATTTCCCCAATACCATACACATAACATGCAGTTAGGAGATACGGGCCCTACCCACACTCGGATAACGAGACCTATCCTCTAACATACTTAGTGAGATACGGGCATCACCCACACTTAGCTACTATAAGAGGTATGGGCCCCGGCCACACTTGGCTATCTATGAGATACGAGCCCCGCCTACACTTAGCTACTAGTGATATTCGGGCACTATCCACACTTAACGTACTAAAAGTACATACAAGTATCACACAGACACCAAGTATAACCAATCTACCAATCTATTCCATATCTATACTCAAACCAGGAGGAAACTCACCTCAAATGTCGGATGATAGCTGAAATGTCTCTGCCCGGAATCAGCTCTACTCACTCCCTGAACCAAAAAAATCCCTTAGGTACCATCCATACTCATAACCCTTAAGGGTTAACTCTGGTCAAGTCAAAGTCAAAGTCAACGCTCTGAGTTGACTCAACTCATCGAGTTTACCCTTCAACTCGCCGAGTTCTCATGAATCACAATATCGTGAAATCATGATCCAACTCGTAGAGTTTTCCTCCAACTCGCCGAGTTCCTTCTTCTCAATCAGAACAAGACTTTCCCAGTACAACTCGTCGAGATCCCTTGTGGACTCATCGAGTTCCTTCAACAGAATCGGGAACATTCCAAACCAACTCGCCGAGTTCTGTGAAAACCTGTAATTTCTATCTTGTAACAATCAAACTTGGCCAACTAAAGTCAAGCGTATCAATCAAAGGTCAAACTTATTTCTTTTTATTATCTTATTATATTTAGGGTAATGAATTTATAGATGTATAAACCTAGCATTGTTAGGTGTTGTGTCTTTCGAAGGGAATGCATTTAGGATCGAGAACCTTTGCATGGGCCGCAATCGAGCCTTCGGCCATAAACCACCCTCGGATTGCAAACCCTTCGCGGCCACGAATCGAAGCCGTGAACCCTTCGCGGCTGTGAACTCTTCCCTATATATATATATATATATATATATATATATATTAGATTTGACTGATTTTTGACTCACTTCCACACTTCTGATCGTAAACACACCATTTCTCTATCAAGTATCATCAACCGTAAACCCTCTATTCTCTCATATGTCATCCGAGGATCCTTAGCAACCGACGAATCTTGTTGTGAATAATCAAAAGTTCATCCTTTCAAAAATCAAGTGTTCTCCATTGCTGAGTTTTTGTCTGTGAACCTTTGAAATCGTCAAGGGTCGTGAACCTTTACAGTCGTGAACACCGAAGTCTTCCCGTGAACATCAAGCAGTTTCTTGATTTCGGTTCTAACACTTCTTTTGTAAGTGTTCCTTACATCCTAGGTTGTTTCCTAATACCTTTGAGGTTATATTCACTAATTTCATGCCAATATGTTGCATAAATTGCTATTTAGGACTTGTTTTGTCGTGGGAACTAGCTTGTGACATCATCCTATATCATACATTCAACCAAATCAATCACAAAAGGTGAGTTAATACCCCTACAAATTTACAGTTTTAAATGCGTTTTAAATGCTTTTAAGGGGAAAATACAAGTAGAACACAATATATTGTGTTAACCATTTACATGTGAAAACGTCAAACAAATTGATTTCTTATACTCAAAAACTTGTTAAAACTCTTTTAAACTATTTTAAACTTCTTTTATATCAAAATCATATTTGTTTATTTATTTACGTATAAGTATACCTTAACGAACTTAGGACTATTGCTAAATACCTTGACTCTTGTTCCTTGTTTGGTTGTGGGCTTAAAGTAGGATCACTGGTTCGACTGTCGGATAAATCATAGTTATACTCATTAAATACATATATGAATATTAAACCTCATTTTTAAGGATCATACTTAACTCAGTTGCTCCCGTAGAACAATTGAGTCTTTTCTACAAATCAGTAACAGTTCAAACAAACATAGTAGTAAACTATAATAGGTATAGTTTAGAGGATCACTACATACTATTACTAGAACAGAGAAACATACACGAGTCTGTACATACATACTATTACTATTCAATACAAAGCATACTATACATTTACAAGAACAAGAAAGGAACATACATACTATAACAAGAACAAGATAACTAAAGTGTGAGATACTATTTCATGGCATAGCAATATTCTTTCTGTGTCACGTTTTGTAACCAGAGTCTCATCGAGGGAGAGCATGAGTTTGTGTATAGATCTATACGAGATTAACTATCCTACACCTTGCGGCTAACTACAGTGCAACCTACAGGTGTACGGGTGACAAATGTCATATCATTTTTGACGTCTGAA